ACTACACCTAACAGAACTAGGAAAGAATAACAAACAAAGCCTGAATTCAGCAGAAGGAGGGAAATAGTAAAAATTAGAACAGAAATAAATGAAATAGAAACCAAAAACTGGTACAAAGGATCAATCAAATTAAGAGCTGATTCTTTGAGAAGATAAATAAAATTGACAAACCCTTAGCCAGACTCACTGAGAAAAAAATAAAGAAGGCTCAAATAAATAAAATTAGAAATTAAAGAGGGGAAATTACAATGGATACCACAGAAATACAAAGGATTGTAAGAGAATACTATGAAAAACTATATGCCAACAAATTGGAAAATCTGGAAGAAATGGATAAATTCTTAGACTCACACAACCTCCCAAAACTGAATCAAGAAGAAATAGAGAATCTGAACAGACCAATCACAAGTAAAGAGATTGAAACAGTAATCAAAAACCCCTCAAAAAATAAAAGTCTAGGACCAGATGGCTTCTCCGGAGAATTCTACCAAACATTCAAAGAAGATTTAATACCTATCCTTCTCAAACTATTCTAACAAATTGATGAAGATGGAACATTTCCTAACTCATTCTATGAGGCCAATATCACCCTGATCCCAAAGTCAGACAAGGAGAGCACAAAGAAGGAAAAATACAGGCCAATATTGTTGATGAACACAGATGCAAAAATCCTCAACAAAATATTTGCAAACAAATATAGCAAAACATTAAGAGGATCACACACCATGATCAAGTGAGATTCATACCAGGGATGCAGGGATGGTTCAAAATCCGCAAATCAATCAATGTGATACACCACATTAACAAAATGAAGAATAAAAACCACATGATCACCTCAATAGATGAAGATAAAGCATTTGATAAGATCCAAAATACATTGATGATAAAAACTCTCAATAAAATGGGTATAGAAGAAAGTACCTCAACATTTAGGGCTATATATGAAAAACACACACCCAACATCATACTCAATAGGGGAAAAACTGAAAGCCATCCCTCCGAGAACAGGAACAAGACAAAGGTGCCATCTTGCCACTCTTTTTCAACATAGTACTGGAGGTTTTGGCCAGAGCAATTAGGCAAGAAAAAGAAATAAAAGGTATCCAAATTGGTAAGGAAGAAGCTAAAGTCTTGCTATTTGCAGATGACATGATTCTATATATATATAGAAAACCCTAAAGAATCCATTGGAAAACTGTTAGAAATAATCAACAACTACAGCAAAGTTGCAGGGTACAAAATGCGCTTACAAAAATCAGATGCATTTCTATACCCTAATAGCGAACTAACAGAAAGAGAACTCAAGAACACAATCCTATTTATAATCACAACAAAAAGAAAAAATATCTAGGAATACATTTAACCAAGGAAGAGAAAGACCTATACACTCAAAACTATCAGACATTATTGAAAGAAATCAAAGATGACAAAAGAAATGGAAAGATATTCCATGCACGTGAATTGGAAGAATAAACAAAGTTAACATGTCCATATTACCTAAAGCAATCTACATATTCAATACAATCCCAATCAGAATCCCAATGATATTCTTCATGGAAATAGGACAAAGAATCCTAAAATTTATATGGAACAACCAAAGATCCCAAATAGCGAAAGCAATCCTGAGAAAAAAGAACAAAGCTGGAGGCATCACAACCCCTGACCTCAAAATATACTAAAAAGCCATAGTAATCAAAACAGCATGGTACTGGTACAAAAACAGACACACTGATCAATGGAACAGAATTGAAAGCCCAGAAATAAAACCACACTTCCATGGACAGCTAATCTTTAACAGAGCAGCTAAGAACACACAATGGAGAAAGGAAAGTCTGTTCAATAATTGGTGTTGGGAAAACTGGACAGCCACATGCAAAAGAATGAAAGTAGACCATTATCTTGCACCATACACAAAAATTAACTCAAAATGCATTAAAGACTTGAAGGTAAGATGTGAGACCATAAAACTCCTAGAAGAAAATAGAGGCAGTATACTCTCTGACTCCAATTTTGGCAGCATCTTTTCAAATACCGTGTCTACTCAGGCATGGGAAACAAAAGAAAAAATAAACAAATGTGACTTCACCAGACTAAAGAGCTTCTGCAAGGCAAAGGAAACTACGAACAAAATGAAAAGTCAACCCACTGACTGGGAGAAATTATTTGCAAATCATATATTCGACAAGGGGTTGATCTCCAAAATATAAAAAGAACTCACACAACTCAACAACAAAAAAACAAACAAGTCGATCAAAAAATGGGCAGAGGATATAAACAGACATTTTTCCAAAGAAGATAGACAGATGGCCAAGAGGTACATGAAAAGGTGTTTAACATCACTAATCATTAGGGAAATGCAAATCAAAACTACAATGAGGTATCACCTTACACCTGCTAGAGTGGCTATAATCACCAAGACAAAAAATAACAAATGTTGTAGAGGATGGCGAGAAAAGGGAACCCTCAGACACTGCTGGTGGGAATGCAAACTGGTGCAGCTACTATGGAAAACAGTATGGTGATTTCTCAAAAAATTAAAAATAGAAATACCATATGACCCAGCTATCCCACTACTGGGTTTTTATCCAAAGAACCTAAAATCAACAACTCAAAGAGACTTTCTCACCCCTATGTTCATTGCAGGAGTATTAACAGTAGTCAAGACATGGAAGCAACCCAAGTGCCCATCGACTGATGAATGGATAAAGACGATGTGGTACATATATACAGCATGGAATACTACTCAGTCATAAAAAAGACAAGATCATCCCACTTGCAACAACATGGATGGACCTTGAGGGTATTATATTAAGCAAAATAAGCCAGACAGAGAAAGACAAACACTGCATGATTTCACTCATACGTGGAAGATAACAAAACACATGGATAAAGAGAACAGATTAGTGGTTACCAGAGGGGGGATGGGCAAAAGGGGTAAAGGGGCACGTTTATATAGTGACAGATAAAAGTTAGACTATTAGTGGTGAGCATGATGCAGCTTACACAGAAACTGATAAATAATGATGTACACCTGAAATTTCACAATGTTATAAACCATTATGACCTCAATAAACAAAATAAAAACAAAAAATATCTACCTGCCAGAACTGTAAGAGAAAAAATTTGTGCTGTTTTAAGTTATCGAGTTTGTGGTAAACTGCCACAGCAGCTTAGATCAGCCGGATAAGCAAACTGGAACCTTTCCACAGGCTGGCTGCAAGTGGTAAATTGGACGCATGACTGATGGGGCTCCTTGTTCCAATGAATCATAGTGCTTGTCCTTCAACATTAGAGCTGCATTTTTTAGATCTTAGGGTTTCATGACATTTATTCAAACTGCAATGCCTCTGACAGGCATTCTGCCTTAGTAGCTAATAGGTTTAGCTCAAGGCTTGGCATATTGTGGGTACTTCCTAAATGCTATTGGTTTACTGCCAGCTATGCACAAGGTATCATGAGAACAGGACCTAGAGTTGGGGGAAAGCGGGAGGGAGTTGTCTGGGAGGATGCAGAGTGTCTGTCCAACCCTGCTTCCTCCGTTCCCTCCATTCCTGCCAAGTCCATCCTAGGACCAGATACAAATCATCTCATCAAAGGCCTGGAAGAACATTTTTGTTGCTATTGCAGGGGAAGCTCCACAATCATTCATTCCTGACTTCACCTTTACTCCTGTTAGCTACAGTGATCCACCAATACCTCCTGTGAGATAATGGAAAATATATATTGGTCTCTGCCCCCGGTTCCTGGCACAGAGCTACTGAAACCCTTGTAATTTCCTACATGATAAGAGCACTAGGAACATTTTTTATTTTAATATTTGCTCTTTGACCCCGATTCCTAACACCAGGAAGGCTCCTGAAACCCATGTAATTTCCTGGGTGACAGAAGTGCCTTTTGTCCTAATGAGACAACTCTGGGTGGGCTCCTGGATAGCTCCTGGATAAGAGCTGTTCACCAGAAAGGCCAAGCCATGATTAGAAACGGAATTTTCAGCCCTGCCTCCCATTCTCTTGAGAAGGGAGAAGGGCTGAAAATGAAGTTAATGATTGCTCATACCTACATGATGAAGCCTCTTATAAAATCCCAAAAGTATGGGGTTTGGAGAGCTTCCAGGGTGCTGAACACATCCACACTGGGAGGGTGATGCTCCTTAATTAATTCCACGGAGACAGAAGCTCCTGTGGTTGGGCCCTTCCTAGAGGTTCTATCTCTTCATCTAGCTGTTCATCTGTATCCTTTATCATATCCTTTAATAAACTGGTAAAGGAAAGTGTTCCCCTGAGTTCTGTGAGGCACTCTAGCACACTAATCTAACCTGAGGAGGGGGTTGTGGGAACCTCCAACTTGTAGCCAAATTGCACAGAAGTTGTGGGTAACCTGGGGACCTACTACTTGCGATTGGCATCTGAAGTGGGGAGCAGTCTTGTGAGAGGGAGCCCTTACCCTATGGGATCTGATACTATTTCCAGGCAGATGGTGTTCGAATTGAGAGTTAAGCTGTAGGACACCCAGCTGGTATGGTGGAGAATTGCTTGGTAATGTGGGGAAAACCCACACACACATTGGAAATTGCTCTCAGAACAAATTTCACCTCCATATACAGCCTGTGTCCATAACCTTCTTTGGCCTAATTGTTTCTAGCAGTTGACAACCATTTCCCCCAGGCTCTCACCAGGAGTCCATGGTGATAACAATAATCATGAAAGCACTAATACCTGTTTATGGAGGGCCTAGTATGTGGCAGGTGCTTTATACGCAGTATCTCTAATTACTACAGCTCAACAAAAAGTAGGTATTATTATAATGTCTTCTTATACATACATAAGTTAATTGAGGCTCAGAGAGAGGAATTATTTTAACCAAAATCATATAGGTGATCAATGATAGAACCCAGATTCAAAGCAAGGTTGCCCCGATGCCAAACTCTTTCCATTTTGTTGCATGTTCCTGACCAACAGCAAAATGTGCCTCAAGTACCTAGCACAGAGTTTGACATATAATAAGGTCTTAATTTATGTTGGCTTTTATTTTGTCATTATGTGTCTATGACTATGATAATGGCTGACAGCCAGAATGTACACGAAGCACAGAAAACCCACAGGCATGGTGGCCTAGGGCCCAGCAGATAGAAAGGGCCCACTTGGCCTTTCTGTAGCCCATGTCCCTGGAGAGTTTCAAAGCCAGAGATGCTCTTCTGCTTCTTCATTTTCCTCCTTCCACATATCCTATTATTTCTAGAAATGAGAAAATAAAGGAAGTGCAGCCAAAAGAGGAACGAGAGGAGAAAATGTATACATAGAGAGGCTCTTAGATTGAGCCCTTCTTCACCTGGCATCCTGCCAAATGGATTCCCTCTCTTCCTCCCTTTAAAGGCTCCCCCACAGGCCTCTACGCCTGCATTGACATTATCCCGGAAACCTCTACATGCTCACCTCCAACCACACACATACTGTTGTCTGAGAAGCAGAGGAGCAGAAGGGCGGTGGGATTTAGGGAGAAAGTGAGAGAACCCTCACCTGAAAACAAATATGTCGTCTTATATTCTTTTCCCATTCTGGCTACTAGAACACCTCAGCATTGGCACAACTTAAGGACAAGTTATTTTCATGTGAAGATATGTAAAATTTGAATTGGGACAAAGCATTTTCCTTATGATGTTGAAAAACAGGTTCCTGAGAGCTTTGAGTAGGTAAGGCAAGCACGTGGCACACAGAGTCCCTTTCTCCAATCTCTGACCTGTGGCAGGCATCACCAGTTGATCGTGGCACTCTTCTCCGCTGAACCCAGACCAATCAATTGGAGATGACACTTTAGAGGACAGTCATTTGGCTTGTCTGAAATACAGCATGGCTTTGCAGACGAGGTGCTCTGTGAACTCTTCCTGAGTTGTGAATTCACTTAGCAATTTTTGAATTCTATTCATCGATTAAAGCAGAGGTCCCATCCTACCCACTCTGGGAAGTCTTCTCTAATCATATTGTTGTTTGTCTTGCCTCCTTTGATACTGACATATCCTGGGAAGAATCCACATTTTGTGGGGACTGAAACTTGGCAACAGCTTTGTAATATTTTCTATAAAGAAAATGGAAAGATAATTCAGTTTTTCTTCTGGGTTGATTTGAATTTGTTCAGAAAAGTTTATTTGGGTTTCATACTAATTATTAATAACATCATGTAAATTTTCAGGATGGTCTCTACTTTGGGGAAACCACTACCAATTTCCTTTCAAATATGAGTTTTAAGATTTCAGAGCATTTCAAGTTTTCTGTGCAGTGTCTAACTGAACATAGTCTTATAACTGATGACACTTATTGACCAGATTGTCCTCACTGTCCTCATATCATTAAATTTTATTTCTAGGAAGGGTGTGTCAAAATATCTAAAAGTGTTGTGGTTGACTCATCACCTCCTGGCAAAGAAAACTGGGCAGCTCCCTAGGAGCATCAAGTTAGGAATGTTCCTTCCTGAGTTCTATGGACTAGAATCACGCATGTATACTCCAAGCCTTGTGCTTGCTCTCCCACTTCTTTAGAGAGCTCAGAACACACTGAGTATTTCAAAAAGATCCCTAGGATTCATTCCTCTCACTACATGTAGTAAAATATCTGTGAGAATTCGAAAAAATTTTTGAATGAATGAAAAAGTGAGTGAATGAAGAATACTGGTCCAAGCATCTCCAAATATTCTGGTTGCTCTTTTTTCTATATTTCTTGTACTAATGGTGTCAACGGCAATGTGGCTTATTTAACTGAATTTCAGGCTTATCTTTCCAGCCACTGGGATTGCAGTCATGGTGACATAGAATGTTAACCTTGGAAGAGATCCTAAAGATCACATGGTTCAATCCTTTTTCACTGTTAATAGATAAGGAAACTGAAGCTGAAAAAGTTGAAGTTGTTGTCCAGGGCCTCAGAGAAGCTCTTCTAAACCCTCTCGTGGCCTGTTACCACAACGATACTCTTTAGTACATATTGCAAAATAAATGCTTATTGCTTCCTTTTAACAGACTCGGAATCAGAATCCTTTCGCCTGCCTTGAAATCAATCACTTCTGCAGTTTCCTCCCCTCCCTTATTTTTTATCTAAGACACTGAGTGTTTATTAAATGTCTGTGCATTCAGCGTCATGAGAATGCAAAGAAACATGGTCTCGACTTAAAGAGCTCATAATCTACTTAAGAGAAGAAACACCTATATGGCCTTCTTCATGGCAGGGCATAATTATGGGGAAATTCCTGTTCATGGCCCCCGAACTCAGTGTGAAATAAAAGCTGTTTCTCTTTTAGACCAAAATCTTTTCATTTTCAATGAAACCTTTGAAGAAAGGCATCCTAAGAGTTAAGCCATTTCAGCAAGGCTGCTTACCTAAACAATAGAATTTTAGCCACATAAAGATGGGGCTGTCACTTTCAAGAGTATTGTTCTTTAAATGGAGCATATCATTGTCTTTGGCCATTGAACTAACTGGCCATACATAGTTGGTGTATTTTGTTTTTGTCTGCATATGACCTGGAGGTCATAAGTTAAGAGATGTGGATGGAACAACACAAACCAAATGCTTCCTCAAGCAACTGCTATGATGTGTCTCATGAGAAATAGCCTTAGCCAGTCCTGGGAAGCAGTAAAATATAATGAAATGCACAGATTTGTGTTAGTAATTCAGGAGATGTTTATAAATATTTCTTGAATCCTTAATATATCCAAGCACTATTGAATCTCTGACGATATAGCAGTGAATAAGAGAGAAAGAGATCCTTGCTTCATTCTAGTGGGGCAGCCAGGCAAGGAACAATAGACTAGAAAATTTGCATAGTAATGAGAACTATGCAGAGAAAAAAATGGTTGATAAAGCATAGACTGGAGGATCAGGGAATGTTTCTGGGGAAAAATGATCTTGAGGCCGAGACCTGAATGACAAGAAGGAAGTAACTGGGAAAGACCCGGAGCAAAGGCGTGGAAGATGCTCCAGGCAGAAGGAGCATCCTGTGCAGAGGAGATAAGGCCAAAAGGGCCTGGGCATGTCTCAGAAACAGAACTTAGGCTGGTGTCGCTGGAGCCTGCAGGAGAAGAGAAATAGGGCAGGAGGTGAGGTCAGACAAGCAAGCAGGGGCCAGAACATGTTAGACTTTGCAGGCAGAATAAGGAGTTTGGTTGTAACTCCAAAGGCAATAGAAGCCAGTGGAGAGTTTTAAGCAGGGAAGTTACATGATCTAACTTACATTTTTAACAGAACAGTTTTCATTCTGTGAGGAGAAGGATTGTAGGAAGGAGGCGAGGAATCAAGGAGACCAGTTAGGCCGTAATCCAGATTTTCTGGATGAGAGATGGTGGCCTCTTAACAAGGGTGGGGCTATCACACAGACAGACCTGTCTACTACGCTCACAAGCTAGGGGAAGACAGTAAAGTTAGCTTGCTAAACCCTAATTTCCTCACCTATAAAGAGTGGATAATAGTATCCATCTTAGAGATTTGTTTTGTGGATTAAGTGAGATAAAACAGAGTACCCAGCACATACTAAGCGACATTCTACAAAGCCAAAGGACAGCATGCTGACAATCTAGATGAGGAGTCAGCAAACTATGGCTCATTCCACCCACTTCTTGTTTTGTTAATAAGTTTCATTGGAACATAGCCATGCCCATTTGTTAGCTATAGTTGCTTTCACGGTACAACAGCGAAGTTGAGTAGTTGTAGCAGAAATCGTATGGCCTGCAGAACGTAAAATATTTACTCTCTGGTCCTTTACAGAAAGTTTGCTGACCCCGATCTAGACTGTAATCAAGAGCAGGAGGAAGGTAAGAGAGACGTACTCTATCTGTACACCTAGGGGGCAGTACATTCAGAGAAATAATAGTGGCATGTCATGTACTGTATTTTTCAGGTGCTCTGCAAAACAGAAGGCCTAGGTGTAAAGAGGAGATTAATAAAAGGAAGCATTTGAAATAAACTTCAAATGTCATCGTCACGTAAACCAACCAATAATATGATGTAAATTTACACAGTGTCTCTATATTTTCATTCTATTTATCAATAACTTTATTAAAATAATCCACTACAGATTCATAAATTCAGTGTCAGAGAGAATAAGTAATGGGAAAGATACATATCAATAAATTGGAAGAGCCATAAATAAAATACAGAGTTCAGCCAGGCAGTCAACAAATATTAATTTAGCATTAAGGAAGTGCTGGGTCCAGCCCTAGGTCCTGGGATATACAGCGGTAGACACGACAGCCAGCAACCTTGCTTTCACGAGACCTTGAGTTTAATGTTTGCTTTTGGGGGAGGCCTGCAGGACTGCGTGTAAGAGTCTTTGTGCAAATAAAGACCCTCTTCTTCTTCAAGACACTTTATCGGTAGGAAACATTTAAAAAATACTGATTTTCTTAGGGCCATCTGCCAAAAAATGAATATAAATATTTGACTTTACTGTAACTATGATGTGAATGGTGCTTGGATGTGGCCTCCATTTGCAGGATAGAAACAACGCTCAGTCGTAAGTGGAAGCCCCAGAGTACGTGTTCAGAAGAGAAGGGAAGCACTCGGCTGAAGACTGTTTTTCTAGTTATCAATTTTTACTAAGTCAGTGAGCCCTAATTATGGTTTATCTGCATCCTAAGAGTGTCCACAAGAATTTCATACAGCTCTCCAAAACTTTTAATATGAAATTTAAGCAAACTGTGTACTGTACTTGAAAGAGTGGACAAGGGGAAGAGTGTGGCAAAATAAAATGACCAGCTATAGGATGTCCCAGTGACCAGAAATTTTTGATACTCTCTGAGAATGCAGCTGGTTTGGGAGTAGTGTGGGGAGTTGTGTTGGTGTTTGTATTTTCACTGAATCTAATTTATTTATTTACTTTCTGGTTTGAATTTAAAAACTCCGATTTGAAGTTCAAGGTTTTATATCACATAGTGGTATACAATTAGAATTCCTAGGTGCAGGGGCTGGCACAGTGGCCGAGTGGTTAAGTTCATGCACTCTGATGTGGTGGCCCAGGGTTTCCCTGGTTCGGATCCTGGGCGCGGACATGGCACCACTCATCAGGCCATGCTGAGGCAGCATCCCACATGCCACAACTAGAAGAAACCACAACTAAAAAATACAACTATGTACCGGGGGACTTTGGGAGAAAAAGGAAAAATAAAATCTTTAAAAAAAAAAAAAAAGAATTCCTAGGTGCAGAAGTCCCATATAAAGGCACTAGGAACAGTTTTATAAAGCACAGAGCATTACACAGGCAATTTCTTTGGAGCTGGGAGCAAAGTGTGCATGCAGTAGGTCGAGATCATGATGATTTTTTCATGATCATTTTTTCCGTTTGTTCAGGACAAAGATGAAAACATACAAGAATTAGCAGAGCTTGGCTCTGGCTTAGCAGAAGCAGAATGGAATACAAGAAAGGGTGAAACAGGGAATGAAAAGGAATATGTGGGAAGGAAGACAATACTTTAATTGAAAGTCTCTTCCTCTTTATTCTCCCAAATCTTGTTCTCAAGGTGTCACTTACTTTTATTTCTTTTCCGGGTGTCCTAGATGCCATGCCAATAAACAAAACAAAGTCTCTCTTGCCTTTTCCGCCCTAAGTGCCCTCAAGCAGAATAAACACAGTTCATTTCACTGGGAATTTGGGCAAGGGTAATTAGGAAAGTTTGCTTTTCCTTATTAATAAAGGTTGAAAGTTACTAGTTTATTTCCAATTGCTAGTTAGATAGTTTTCTTCATGTTAACTTTTTATATGTATTTTTGAGGATTGATATTACAGTTATTCATATTACCATCAGATTATATGTTATTGAAATCAAAATGTGGAGATAAAGCAGACTCAACCACACTGATCTTTGCTCTTCTGTAACTCTACTATAAAGCTTCTTATTATTATGAAGTTTATTATTACTATCAAATTTATTATCCCATTTCATAAACTACTCTGTGATTGGGTTTCTTTTTTTTTTTTTAAAGATTGGCACCTGAGCTAACATCTGTTGCCAATCTTGTTTTTTTTCCTCTTTCTTCTTCTCCCCTAAGCCCCCAGGACATAGCTGTGTATTTTAGTTGTGGGTCCTTCTAGTT